TAAACGCCTGTGATAGATCGAAAAGAAATTTTTCCGCGTATATCGTTTTCTACATTATCTCAGAACATTTCACTACTGTTTCTGTGTGTCGTGGTTGTCAGAGTATAGACGCACGTGCGCATGCATGCACGCACGGATCGCGCAGAGAGACTGTGTGCGTGAGCGTTTGTGCACAACTAACAAACCAGTCTGCGTAACCGGTCGGTGAGTTCCAATTACTGATTATATCTGTAGCAGTATAACTGAGATATCAACGGGGCCTTCTAAGCGTTACTATTCTGAAAACCGACAGATACTGATACCCCAGCGGATTTTCTTGAGAGCAAACATGTTGTTGGGCGGTGGTAGTCAAATGGTTAGGTCACCAATTGTGACCACCGGGGAGTCCCGGGTTCCAACCGTTACACCGCCGCCGCCGCCACCTGTCTTCCCAGGCAGCTTTTGTATGACTGCACCCATCCCCCTTGCTGAATGTTGAATGTAAATTTGTACATTTAATAAACAAAAAAGGAAGTCCAAAGGCAAATTTATTTATATTTGTAACAATTATAACACAACGACGTGAATGAAAACAGTTCACTTGGTTACAATGAAGGGGAACGGGTTGGCATTCGTTCTATGTATCGCTTCTGTGAGTTCTGAAAGTTCGGTATAATTGACCAATCAGAGTCGTCGGACGATCCGATCGATTACACCGACCGATCATTTCGGCCCAGGAGGCTCACCCAATTGCGGCTCTTGTCGCCAAAAATATGAATTTTTCGACCGGATTTTTGGAATTTAACCTTCCTGACACTTCTCCATTCACAATGAAGGATATCAACGTTTCGTTGCTTCTTTTGTATTTCCACGGACACTGCTGTTTTTCTTTCAGTTTTCTTGTCCATTTCGCTAGTTGATCACGATCAACAAGCTTGCGTGCAACCATGCAATTTGTGGTTTATAGCAATGTATTTGACCCGGCTTCGTCGTTGAATCGACGGAGGAGGGCTGCGGATGCCAAGCGGTGTAACAGCTATGTGAGCGACTGGAGTTTGCACTAGTCAGGAACAGCCACCGAGCAGCGTATAGAGCTAACGGCAGTTCCGGTTTCTTTTTCAGAAATACCACCAAAAAGATCTTCCAAGTGGGGATCTTCCGGAAATAATCGACCTGTTATAGTATTCGTATCTCCACAACATAATTCCAATGCGCATTAGGAAGAGGTCGTGGAAGTGAACTGACCGTCTCGAATCATGAACGAATAAGTTGTAAATTCCCTATTCTACAATTAACTGTCTATCGTAATTGTCATTCATCCAGAAGAAACTCTTAAGATGCTTTATCAATAGTAACGTGAAAAGTTCCATAGATAGAAGCGAACCGTCCCATAGCCAAAAACTACATACCAACGAATAATTGTGATGAATGCACTGATTATGAGATAAGCCGGAAATTCTAACTTATGACTTAAGCCAATGTTCCGGGTCCCGAGGCCCCGGTGTCAAATCTGTCAACATCTGGATTTAACTATCACTGCACAGTTTCTATACTGCACTACGGCTAGCTCCTTGGAGAGAACAAACCGGATACAGGAAGATCACACCTCATGGAAATTTGGTATTAGAGATGACCTCAGTGACATTGTTTGTTGGTTTGATTTTTTATTCCAAGGGATCACCTCCAGCTTTAGTCCGAACCTCGGACAAAAGCGCACCGATGACAGCGACTAAACCACTGCGCCACCATCCACTAGATTTACTTAGTGGGATCATGCAACAGATACCGTTCGGATTCTCAGTAGTAACTGTCCTCGTATGTTGTACGCCGTCTCGTTTCGTGTATCCTCAACCTGGTTTAGCCGATCCGTCAAGGAGTTAACTGGGATGTGACGGCCGATGCATGTCTCAACTTCGTGGAACCACCATTAAGAGCCGGGTAAGTGATAGGAATCAAAGAGGTGGACGGTGCTCCAGGCAAATGACAATCGACCAGCTCAGATGTGCTACCAGATACCCCCTCACCTTCAATCCCTGTAGGTAGGCTCACTCTCGTCGAATCAACAGCATCTATATCCCCATGTGGTTCCTCACTCTGAATCCCAAAGCCTAGGTTCCCGGTTTCCATCACTGAACAGCAGATCTTCGCGACTATAGGGTTCGCCCCGTCCGCTGTTTAATCGCACAAGTATGGTTAATAAAAAAGTAGACATGAGTCACACGAAGAAACAAATGGTAGATGTATTACAAATCAAACTCACCGAAAACAAGAGCCACACCAGAGCAAATAGGTTCGTGGTCGAGTGATGCGCATCCCGTTCATACTGACCAAATCCAATCCCAAGTGAAAAAGGACATTTTGCATTGCGAAATCTGTGGTTAGACAAGCGACTACTGGCGGTGGTGGAGGAACTGGGCATCCGGTGGTCGGATCGATTGTCTGTTCCGTTTGTTCGGATCTGTTGATTTGGAAAAAATTGGCCAGTTCAAACAATGGTGATCCAAAAATGAGTAGACTTATCAATCATGCTACTGGTCTATTGGTTATTTTGATGCCAAACTATGAAAGTATGCATGTAGGATATCATTGTTCTAATCTCCTCTTCTGTATGTGAGTCCTTTCTTATCATTACTGCGCGGTTTGACTAAATAATCTGTGTTGAACGAGAAGTGTTTGTAGCCGTAGCTCCGGCGCGCGGCAATTTGTGTTCTCTCGGACGAATCGAGCTTGAACACAAATTTTCCAACGATACAGAAAATTTGATTGCTGTTCCAATTCTGGATTTGATCTGTCGTGATCGATTCACGATCTTTTTAGTACACACTTTTCTGTGATGAACAGCAGATGGGGAAAGTCCCATAGTCACGAGGACCTGTTATTCAGTGACGGAGATCGGTAACCTAAGTCCCGGGACTTGGAGTGGCGAACCACATAAGGCCCCGATAGGTTAGGTGTGGTAGTGAACCGGACGACAGCACAGCTGCCTATCACCAAAGTTGGGTGGTGGTCAAGGGGCTCGAACCTCGAACCACGGAGTCCTAAGCATGCCGGTGACAGCGACTAAACCACTGCGCCAGCACCACTTGTTTCTATTCTGCCGCCTATATAACTCATATCGAGGAGGTCCAGAAAGGAAAGCTGGTTCCTTTTAATTTCGCTCTTTCGTGTTCAATAAATTTTGGGTGGAATCGACTTTCCGTGTAAGGTTCAAGCATTATGAATGTGCATCCATTGACGAGAATGTGGGATTCAGAATTTCTTAGCTTTGGTTTGCTTCATAACCGGATCCGCAAGCAGGCCTGAAAGTGGTGAACCCTGATCTCTTCTGGCATCCGTAATGTCGAGCTGGAAGTACGTTTCCATAAACACAACCAGTACCATTCGTTCGTCCATTCATTAACCGCTTGATAGTTTACACTATGAAAAGTAAATCGAATGATAATGGTAAACGTGTATACATGCAACTCGAAAAATTCGACCGGATCACGCATCTGAAAAATGAATTTACAATTTGGAACCAAAACTGGTTCAATAGTAACGGAACGGATTTAACACCTGCAGTGTAGGAACAAAAAACCGTATCATCACTCGCTGGGTCTGCGTTCGAGGTCGAACTATCGTCTTCATGAATCCAAACTACACTGTCGTTGCCCTCCTACTTTTGTGTAGTCTTTAAGTGATTGTGGATCCATGATCTGCATACTCATCTTGATTTTGTAGAAAAAACGGCAGTGAGAAAAATGATTATTAGTGTTTTTAGAATTTCGCGCATTACTACTCACAAGTAACTGTAAGTTGAATGTGAATTATCATGGAGGGGTAAATGTTGGATGAAAGGTCAATTTTGATTTCATCACATAAATATTTGATACTCTTCTATAAGTAAGCGTACCCTACAACTGATATATATTATTCGAGTCTATATGCCTCGGGACGATCAATTTTTGGCAAACGTGCGAAACGTCATTACTGAGCATTCACGCAATGCAGCAAAACATTATACAGATGA